AAAAAAGGAAAAGGCAAATTATTAAAAGTGCTGTTAAAATTGCTTCGATTTTCTTTCCATCGTTTTTTCTCGTAACAAAGAATTGTTGATTAATAATTTTTGCAAATTTTTCTAATTTAATCAGTTAATCAGTTTAAGGAATTGATAATTTGCAAGGATAAAAATCAAAAATACGGCATTTATATATTAAATTGGCAAAATTATTCTTCACTGTACGATAATTGAAATTATCATTTCGAACAGCAATCATAAACTAACAAAATTTACATCATAAAATAAGGGCAAAAAAAAAGAATTAAAATAATAAAAATTGCGTAACAAAGAGGAACAAAGAAGAAAAACAACAACATGAAATTTTTTTTTTTTTTCAAATGAAAAGATCAAAAATATTACATACATCGAATAATCTTAACAGTTCATGAAATTTTTTGAATAACATTTAAAGTATCGATTGACGTGAGTATGAATATGATAATTATAAAATGATCAAAAATGAGATCCAATTAATGTAATTCAATTAATAATTGACAGATATGGGAAAAAGCCAAATATGAAATATTTTTTTAATTTTCATAAAAATACCGAATGACTAATTGCAAAATTAATAATAAAAAATCGTTAAAACATTTTCAATAAATAGTTAAAAATTAAAACATTTTCAATAAATAATTAAAAATCATTAAAACATTTTCAATAAATCGGATGATTATATGAATGATTTCATATCAATGATTGAAGAATACGTGATGTTAAAAAAGGGGGATAATTTGAGGAAGATCAAAAAGCTTGAAACAGCTGTTTTTAAATTAGTAAATTATAACTGTAACAAAACGATTTTATACTCACGTTTCAACCGGAAACTTCTTTCTTTTTGCACTATCATATTGTTCATTGAATGTTTGGTAGGAAGAAAAAAAAAAAAGAAAAACAGCATTACCGATTCTTTTGAATTAGATTAGAATGAAAAAAAAAAGTTTTTGAAAAGTTGGAATAAATTGAAGCAAAAATATCAGGGAAAGTTCAGAGGATAAAAAGATTTAAAACACCGTCTGTAAAGAAAACAGACAAGTCAATCAGATAAGAAGAGAAGTTAGCAAAAAAAAAAAAAAAAATCATCTTTTTAGTCTAACGAAGTTAGCAGTAAACTGAAAGTTTTATTTTTTCGATCTTTTTTTTGCATCTTTAAATCGAACTTTTGTTTTTTCCTTTTTTCTCTTCCAACCACCACCTTCACTTCTTCTCTTACTTTTTCTTCTTGGCTTCGCTTCACCTTTTTTCCTTTTTTCCTTTTTTTTTTTTTGAAAAACGCCGTACTTTTAAAATAATAATAATAAGAAGAAGAAAATTTCATCATTATGTGATAAAAAAAAAAGGAAGATAAGAGAAATTTTTTGGAAAATATTCGATTAAATTTAAAATGAGATGATTTGAAATTGGCAAAAAAAAAAACAAACAAACAAAATGGAAAAAGAGAAAAATGGAAGAGAAATAAAAGGATGTAATGTAAGAAATGGTGTTTTTCACATATCAAAACATCGTTACATTTTCAATATAATATAAAAGGATAGCCATCATTTTAATTAGCATTTTATTACAATCAGTGAGGAAGAAAAGGTTGAGAAGCTTTTAAGCAATTCATCCTATCCACTTTTATTATTTCTTCAACTAAGCTTTTTACTTTTATCTTTTGCACAACGGTTTATTAATCCATTAAGCACAACCAATTCTTCCATTTCACAAAACATTTAACACTAATAAATTTGTGAGAATAAAAGGATGAAGCGCTAACTAACTGATCGAACTATTATTATTACTATCATCATTATAATAGTTATCCTTTTTTTATTACTGTTATTATCATTATCACTATATTCATCATCATCATCATCATCATTATTATTATTATTACTATCACTGTCATCAAAATTTTCTGCTATTACCGCTATTCTTCATCCTTATTATTACTATTGCTATCATTATTATTATCATTATCACTACCATTATTATTATCATTATTATTGTTATT